CTGGGTCTCAAACTTTTGTGACATACTTGTAATAGATCAAGAAAATAATGGTATTGATGGACAGGTGTGTGTGTGTGCATGTGTGTGTGTGTGTACGTGTGTGCATTTATTTGTGCAAGTGTGTGTGTGGACGTGTGTGTGTGCACGTGTGTGTGTGTGTGCATGGGTGTGAACGTGTGTGTGCATGTGTGTGCATGTGTGTGTCTCTGTGTAAGGACGAGGCACATAGAACCACCGTACATATATTTTGTCTCTTTAAACATCAATAGGAGTCACGACCACACCTGATGTTCTACTTTAACGATGTGCCTGATCAAATACATTATCTTTAAAAATGAACTTCACATCGCACGTCCCGTCACACCTCGAGCGAAGGACGAGATACTAATTCACTTCTCCTTGATGGAACTACTGTATATCAAAGGATGGACAAAGGCAAAGTGACAGAAGAAGGACAACCATTGTAATGACACTCCGTGTCAGATTGTTGAATGACATTTTAATCATGCTATGTAGTCATCCTCCCATCTGCCAGTGTTGTTACTTCAATATAAAACTGCCCAGAGATTAAATTGAGGTGAGGGATACTTTCTTTCGGACCAGATCTTTCTCAGGTGAACTGAAACCCTCCTATGATTAACAGAATCCACGAAGAACACAGCGGCTTGCTACTTTGTCCTTCCGTCTCTTCTAGCCGCATCGAGCCTTAGAGCTCTACTCTGAATTATACATAATTTCTCCCTTTTCCATTTCCTATGTTGCCTAGTTGCCTGCCTTTGAGGATCCAAATGGGTCATTCCTCACATTGTCAAACGGAAATGTATTTCATTTGAAGCAAAGGAGTATTACGTGTTGCCACTAAGTTTCCCCAAAATTAGAATTGTTAATCCAGCCATGTCCTCATGAGATCCGGGCATCCTTGAAGAGAGAAGGCTATATGCTCTCGGCATTCATATGAATTATTCCATCAGAAAGTTATGTCTTCACTTCAATCGCAGACCTCCATCACAATACAGCTTTTAATTGCCAAATATAATTAGCACTGTTTGCTGAACATACTGTCCTTTGGCCTACATACATGATGGACCATTAATTAATAAAGCACTATACCCCTTGAGACAAACAAATGTTTTGGCCATGTAAAGAAGTTCCATCCATAATGACTGTCTCATAAAATGAACAGTCATGACGAGAAGGTAACTTTTGGATCGCATTTCTCCTTTCTGGGATTCTGCTGCCCAATATGTATGAATTCTTTCGTAAGAGTTTTCAAAAGACCAGTTTTAGATACATTCTCTTAACAAAATAGAGACCTTTTCACAAATGGGAGCTGGTATGCTGCCATGGCGAACTGAAACGGACAGCCAGTGACACATCGTCAGGCGTTCTATTGGTTCCGGTTCTAACCGTTTCAAAGTCATAGTGGCAGTGAAGCATTACACAAGGGGGGTCTCATTGAATGTTCCAGTTCAGGGTAGTCTAGGTGCTCCAACCAGAGTCCATCCACTAATTGGGACTTATGTCAAATTAGTTTATTTTCAATACATATAATTGGTGTGTGCTAGTTTATCTTCGGTTATATGCACATTTGGATTTTCTGTCATTAACCTGCCTACACCCTGGCTTCAAATGACAAAGACACAACCGAAAACCTGTACAGCACAATCATTCCTGTGTAGGTTTCATGAACAACATAACTTCTTGGCCTCAATGTAGCAACAATGCATTTTTTTATGTACATTATGTGCTTTTAGCGCCATCGACTATAAACAGTCTTCAGACATTCACTCTGACAATCCCATAAGCCCAGTTAGTCTCCGTTCTCCCGTGCCTGAATAGTAAATAAGCTTTAGTAGCCTGCTTAGTGCAGCGTGTACCCTATAGTGTCTGAGACAGTGTCAGAGCCAGTGTCTGTAGCGTATGCACTCACACCACCATAGCCTGGTCCCCTGACAAACCTCATCTGTGCTGGCTGCACATCTCATCACTCATCAGGATGGTCACACTGTTTATAGCTGGAACACATTACCTCAGTAGACCCACACACATAAACACACGTGCTCACACACACATGCACACTCGTCTGACAACAAAGCACTGCTGCCTCGGTCTGGCACTGACCCGGCACTGAGTGGATAGTTGTGAGTGTGACTGTGTGGAGTCCTGACAGGTAGCTAAGCATGCCTGGATGCCTGTTCCTGAGTGGGGCTGGCTGCTCTAAAAAAGGCTGCGATTTGTTCTAGAGGACAACGTCCCCCTGAGCATCAGAGGCCACAAGGCAGGTGGGTGAATTCAGTGTCTACAGGGTAGTGGAAAAACAGGGTACAGACAAAGCATCATAGTAGTGAGATGTGGATATCGAGACTAATATATTCCCCTGGTGTTGATGCTAATGTTGATGGTGGAAAAACACCAAATGTCTCTGTTTTTAGTATGGAATCCATATGGGCAAATCCAGTAATGCCCAGGGCTGGTCAAATGAAATGCAGTATGTGCTTATGCCTTTAAGTAGTATATTTGGGTAATTCAGCCTATCATGTACTGTTCTAGTGTCTGATGAACATGTGGATAAAAGTAATGATTTCACCCAGTATGAAGGAATTTTTTGATTTACGCTAACTAGCATCGGAGCTATGACTGCACTTCTACTGGGAACAGCTAGCATGCTACATGTTCATACACAGTTCCTCATTAGTGCGCTAATGCTATTTTGATTAAAGATATAATGCAACGTGCACCAATTTTCAATATTGTGCTAAGTTACAATTCAAATTAAAAAGCGTTAAATGAATTAATATAGCCAAAAGCTATTGATATTACATAAGAGAAATGAGCACCAATACCAGGGGATCTTTTATTTTAGCTTGTGAAACATGTGACCGACATGTTCTGTTTATATTTTTGTCTACTAAAGTTAGCAATTGCCAGAACACTAGCTGGCAACTTCATTGGAACTGTGACGCAGTGACTAAAAATAGTATAAAGTTTATCTGATTGCAATTCAAATATAAAGATAAAATATAAGCTATATATTTCAAATCTCTATTTACCCTTTTCATGACTTGACCTTTAATATTCAGAATGCTTTTTTTGCCTGTTTTACTTTAATAATTGACAACGACCACACAGTGTTGAGGATCGACTCAAAAATATAACAAAGGAGACGTCCACCCAGACAGCAATAATGCAAGGCAGTTATGCAGAAAATGATGAGCCCAGAGATAGAGAGAGAGGGAAAGACAGAGAGAGAGAAATACAAGAGAGAGGGACAGACAGAGAGAGAGAGAGAGAAATACAAGAGAGAGGGAAAGACAGAGAGCGCGAGAAAGACAAGAGAAATGGAAAGACAGAGAGAGAGAAAGACAGAGAGAGAGAAAGACAGAGAGAGAGAAAGACAAGAGAGAGGGAAAGACAGAGAGAGAGATAAAGACAAGAGAGATCGAAAGACAGAGCGAGAGAGAGAGAGACAGAAAGAAAAGGAATTTAAATTGAACGATCCTCCTTAACACAGTCACACATGAGCTGGCTCTATCAGCTTTTTCAAAAACGACGCATCCCCAAAAGACTGGTTGTCCCAAGCTGGGAAGAATAGATAGAGCTGCATGCTGCTTCTCACACATCTATGCCACGGAACAGTCCACCGCAGCTGTTTACAATTCAATCAGTTTCGTTAATCTAGGTGATCACAACTGGATAACTATAAGCACACCTCTGACACAACTGACAGACACATCTGCATGTCTGATGCATCGTGGGATTTCCCCAGGGTTGTCTGTCAGCCCTGTTAGTATGAAGACACATAGTTGCAGCGGCAATTTGATTGTTTAAATGGGAACGCACAGTGTTATTGTCCATGTAGTAAAGCACAATCTTATAGTTATATTTGTGGACCAATAGATTGAATTCCAGGGAGTTCATTGCTATTTACATTAGTAAATGTTGATTTATTTTTACCTTCTCAGCACACAGTAAAAAAAGACAGGAATATCACCTTTTAACAGTAACCCAACCTTGTCAGCGACCTAAATATACCCGAGGCAAACTTAGAGATGGACTTGTACCAGAAAACCAGACCCTAAACTAAATTCTCCCTATGTCTGGAATCAGTATTGATATGTCAGTAAAAACCATAATAGCCAATAGGCAATTTTCTACTTAGCCAAAGATTTGTTTTTTTTCCTTGTTGCAGGATACAACATAATGTATTAATAGGAAAATAGCTCTGTTGCTATAACTTGCCAGGTGGGTTATACAATGTCCAAGGGTCTTGTTGAGCGTCGTTAGAGGGAAACCAGACATACTAAAGAAAGTCAGGAAGGCAATAACTTGATCCAGAGGGAAGCTCCTTCTGAAGAGAGCTTTCACATCCTTGTTTCGTCTCACTGACTGTTTTGCATCGTTGATCTTTCTGGGTTCGGATTCCAGACAGGCAGAGCACAGCTGGCGCTGGTTGTTAGGTCATATTGGTTTGTCTCCCTCCTCATTATCTACCAGATCCCCCCACGGGGCCTGTTGGGAAACACCAGCAGAGGCATATTTGGTTTGCAGAAAATCTGGAGAAAAAAAATTGAGATATTTGCAGGGATGATTAGCAGCCAGAAATATCTTCTCCGAGCTTTCACTGAAAGAATTTAAACAAAAAACAAACAGAAATTATTTTTTAAATTTGATGTCGGTTGTCTGAAGTCTTGAAGTGAAATGTTTTTGTTCTGTATGGGACATTGAGGTTGTCAAACCTGACAGTCGTAGCGAGTCGTGTGTGGCATGTTTAGGGAATTCATCTGAATCTAACTTGAACATATAAGTACATGCTAATAAAGCTCATGTTACTGCAGGATTTCATTGATAGGCTGAGAGCATTAAAAGCACTTTCATCATCACTGCTCAGATGTCCTCGTTCCCATCTCTCTGTGACCTGTTTTTATTTTTGTTTTTATTTAACCTTTATTTAACCAGGTAGGCCGATTGGGAAAAGATTCACATTTGCAACAGCAACCTAGTGAGAAGCTGGGGATTGAACCCAGGATATAATTCATACCAAGCATGCACTCTACCACTGAGCTACCATTTCCTGTGGCAGGCCGGCATGTTCTTTATGAATTTCCTGTTTCTATTGACTTCCAAATAAACCAGAAACATCCCTGGAACATAATGTAGGAATTTCATGGATATAAGGTCGCCGTTGCAAATGAGAATTTGTTCTCAATCTGCCTACCTGGTTAAATAAAGGTTAATTAAAAAAAATATAAAAATAAATCAGGATGATAACTTCCAGGAACTAACACAATTTTATTTTAAATTAAAAAAAATACTGTTGTAATTGTTTAAGGCCATTTTGAACTGCTCAAGTCAGGAATTTCTATGACGTCATGCTGGAATGGACTGGATTCACGATGTACAGGATATGTAAATGTTCATGTAAAATTAGAGTCTATCAGAGATATGTACTGTATATATTAGTGTTGATTATGTTAAGTCAACATACTATGTACGTGTTTGAAACTCGGTAATATGGGTTGACTCTTGGTCTTCTGATATTAGTTGTTTGCAATAATGAGATCTGAATGTGCCAATGTTTTGTCAGGGAAGCTCTGGTTCAGATTGCATTTTATTCTGTATTAATTTGTCACGGACTTGCAGGGTGAAGTGTAGAGGGAGCGAGATGCAAAGCTGGATAATCACGTTCTTGCTATTTATTAAAATACAAAACAAACACTAAATAACAAATGGAAAAAGAACTAGGCACAGAAATGAAAACAAGCTGCGCAACACAGCGACTTACTTAATTACATGAAACCAGAGCCCAGGACATAAACAGCACTCACCTACATCTACGTAGAAACAATCCCAAGCCCCTGTGAGCCTAACCAGGGACCTTAAATAGCCCACTGAATAACTAACCTATGCCCGGTGCTTAGCTAAACCAAAAACAGCTGTGCTCCTAATCAACATGAACACACAGAAGTGCTCTCCCCTAAACACCCTGTGACAGTACAGTTCACCCATACGTGACAGAATTATTAGAAAGATAAAGCTTAATCACAGATCCTAAAGTTTGTCTGTATTCTTTTACGCATGATGATGCAGACCTGATGGGCACCCTCATAGTAGACTATTTGCTTTGGCTCAGGCATATACATTTTCATTAACTCACTTGATTGATTCATTTAAAATTACTCACTTTGTGCTACTTCACAAACGTTCTCTCAACATTCACAAAAAACTGAACACAGCTTCTGTAACATCAGACGTCCAGGTAATGTGATGACAGGTAATGTAATTAAATGCAGCCACGAGAAAATGTGAGAGCAACTGTTTGCCACACAGTTAAAAACAGACATTGTATAATTGTCAGCAATAGGTTGTGGTGTTAGTGTTATGACAAAAATTGACTCACCTAATAAATGTTCTGAAAGCGTTCACAGAGTTGCTGGGTTTGTTGTCATTGATATCTTCAAACCAAGGAGCATTTTCTTTCGCAGACCGGGATCTGACACTAAAGTATGTCAGGAGAGCAGGAAAGTGTGTGCATAACGTCAGCAACCCGTAATTAATAAAACATTAATGACAACACATTTCCTTATTGATGGCATCCTATGAATATGTATGTGTTGTGTATTCGCTGGCTCAAAGCAAAGAGCACAATATCCATATTCGTTTGTTTGCTTGAAAATGTTCATCCTCAAAGGCAAAATAAATAGTTAGCTAAAGGCTTTATAATTTTGCTTGTATTCCCTTGTCAGAAAATATTTGAATAGATTACGGAACATTCATTGCGCACACAAAATAATGTTTTAAATTTGAACTATTACATAACTAAGTGCCAAAGTTCAACATTGTCCATCTGTTTTACAACAACTTGGTAAAAAACAAAACCCAGGCTGTATTCATTCAGAATTCATGGACGTTTCTAGCTTCACGCAGAGCAAAGGCTCAGTAAATCTTGCAGTTGTGTAAGTGCTTTACACACTAGTGTATTTGTAGGGCTGTGCTCTTCACCTTGACTGTCTGAATGTTTTGCGATTTGACAATAAAGAATGTGGCCACATTTGAGTGTCCATGAGCTTGGTGCACACTGCTGACCTAGTGGAATACAGACTCACATACTCAATACAGAGTCCTCCACCAGATACCCCACAGAGTCCTCTACCAGATACCCCACAGAGTCCTCTACCAGATACCCCACAGAGTCCTCTACCAGATACCCCACAGAGTCCTCTACCAGATACCCCACAGAGTCCTCTGCCAGATACCCCACAGAGTCCTCCGCCAGATACCCCACAGAGTCCTCCGCCAGATACCCCACAGAGTCCTCCGCCAGATACCCCACAGAGTCCTCCGCCAGATACCCCACAGAGTCCTCCGCCAGATACCCCACAGAGTCCTCTGCCAGATACCCAGTTAGTGTTACAGTAGAGCTATTGTCATGCTCAGATGACTGAGATTACGTCACTATATTATTGTGACAACATTTGTATTCATATAACAGTAGATGCACCCCCCCCCCCCACATACATACCTGCCTGCCTGTCTAGCTGCCTGCATGTCTGTCTACCTGTCTGTCTACCTGTCTGTCTACCTGTCTGTCTACTTGTCTATCTATCTGTCAGCATGCCCTGCATTATTCAATCCACTGAGGAGTCCTGCCAGCAACAGTGAGGCATGTCTAAAGCCAGAGTTAAAGCAGCTCTTTTACTGCTGCAGCATACCGTACCGTACAGAAGGTGTAGGAGGCTAAAACCAGTCTGGGAGAGAGGCCAAGGGTGGACACAGGCAGTGAAATCCCTCTCTGAAGTGTCAGCTGCGGCCACTCCGTATTAGGCTGAAGTGGCAGTGATGGGCTCTACTGATTCCTGACACGAGGGTCAGTTCCACACCACCAGATGGTGTTATCTCTGAATCCCCAGAATTGAAATGTGCATCTAATTTCCGGCTCAGACATTATCTGCCGTCTGCAGGATCATCACTCACTTTACATGAAGCAAGATATGGAAAGAGCTGACATTTGGTTACAACAACCGCCCTGTGTTCTCACTGAAGTCTACAGTCGGTCTTTGTCACAATCTAGTCATTTAATTCGAGGTGTCTTATCACAGATCTAATGATGTCTGGAAACACTCTGTGTGATTCTCTAATGATTTAACATAGCAGGGAGGACTTAGGTCCCATTTGCAGTGTTATTTTTGAATGTCAGGGGAACGTAAACATTCAACAGGAAATACAAGTAGTTCTTAGTGATGCATTGAAGATATAAATGGGTTTTTATTAGCTCGAGTATAATTATGCGTTGCAGTCGTTACATGGCCATTACTGGAGAAAACGCTGTCTGACGCACATTCACTTACATTTATAATTAGATCTGCTGCTGTACACCTTACCTACAGTATAACAACAGTAATAATACAACGGCAAAAATAGATTAATACTAGGTTTTACATTTATCTGTATAATGCCTAATGGCTGCTCACGGATCTCACTTACAGACGAATCTGGAGAATGAAGTACATTAGGTTTGCTGGTCTTAAGATTTACAGGGTTAAGGGTTTTCATTGAAAACTATATTTGGTGACTTACAATTAGCTTATAATACATCAAAGAGGACAATAAAGAAGGAAAATAATTAAAGTGTTTAGTTTAGGTAAAGAAGATCTAGCCACTAGACTTACACAAAGACAAAGATATTTGTAATTAGAATTATTCTTTACACTGTCAGAACTCAGAGATTTACTAACGATCTACTGTATGGTTCTAAATCCCAAGGACAAACATTGTAACCTGTATCTATGCTGTTTGAATGATCTAGTTTGAACAACCGTATATGATGTTTGAAAGGCTCCTGATCTTGTTTTCCAACTTAGTATCAATTAATTTTGTTGCAAATCTACATCGGACACTTTGTATGCATTTGCTTCAGAAAATAAATCTCCACATCAGTGGCATATTGTTGTATTGTGTGATCTAATCCGCTTGCACATGCCAATTAGAGTCACAGTTCAAACTGTTTCTATTTGTGATGCTTGACTTTCACTTGCCGTCATTTCGGTTCCCGTATAGCTCAGTTGGGTTTTATAGTTCCTTTGTGAGGTATTGTTGGAAATTAGCCAGCGTACTGAGTCTTTTGTTTAGAGAACCCCTTGTATCCTGAGTATATAGATATGCTGTGTTTAGACCTTAGCCTTTGTATTCTTTGACTTCACTCCTGCTTCGCTTTGTAATATTGTATTTTTTCGCCATAGCCATCGGATTTTGACTTCTACCTTGCATTTTTGACCACGTTTGGCCTTAACCTTTGTACTGCTGGCTCTTGTTTTGTTGACTATTCGGTTTTGACCTTTTGCCTGCCTTTGTGAATTTGCCTTCTGTCTTGCCCTTGCTTGGAACTATCAAACGCCTTATAAATACGACCAGCGCCCTGTGTCTGGAACCTACAACCCTTGTCTCCGACTCATTCATTACACAGAGGAATTACTCAACAGTATTGAATAGCATCAGTTCTCTAATTCATCTGTGTATTAATCCTTGTAGTAGAGAGACACTTGATCATAGTCATTTGCAAATCCAATGTTTTTCTCCAGCTTGTATGCTAATGTCTGTTCATGTTTCTTTGGAGTTTTGACCTGAATCTGCTAACTAAATTAATGCAAAATTAATTGGTTTACAGTTGATTTTGGTATTTGGAGTGACTGTCATTAACATGTCTGGTGGGGACAAACACAATTAGTGTGCGGTAACGGACCTACTTGCTCATCTGGTTCAGTATTGGTGTAAATCTTTCTAAATAAATACTAAATTGTTGAAAGAACTTTCTACCCTGTTCATAGACAAAAAGTACAAAAATGTTGTTTGATTAAGATTTATTCATTGATTCTATCCATTAATACTCACTCATAACCTTAAGCCGGCATATTTTAGATTGTAGAGCATATAATGTACTTTGTCAAGGTTGAATAGATTGATGCATAATGTCACGATACGGAGGTGTAGTGCAGAGGAAATCCAGGCGTAGGGCGCATATATTCCATATAAAAGACAGGTTTATTTTAAATAAAAACAGAACGTAAATGGCGACAA